CCTGCGTGAAATCTTTGATTTCTTCGCAGTAGGATCTCCATGCATCTCTCTGTTTTTGTCTGACGATTTTTTTTTTATTCTCTGAGGTGAGATTTGTAAGTATCCCAGTCCTCTTTGAGTTTTGTGGTTCTTATTAAAGGATTTCCTAGCCATCTTCCTGAGGTGATCCAACTCGTGACACCACCATGCGGTAGTCGTCTGATCGTGATGGACCAGCCTCAGGGGACAGGATTTATTATAGGCATTGTTTATTGTGCTTTGGATAGTGTTTGAGTACTTCTCCAAAGCATTGTTATTGTTTGGTGTTTCGGCCTCCATCTCTCTCAGAGCCTCTTGGAGAAGGTGGGCATAGATTGCCCTGTCCGTCTTCCTAGGGTTCCGAGATAGCTGGAGGTCGGCAACATCAAGTTTATTTTGAATGTTTACCAGCGATGGTCTGACATCGAAATGTTATCAGACACTTGCCAGTTTAGAATTGATTTACAGATACCAGTTGTGGATAAAGTGATATAAAGTAATCTATTAGTGTTTGATTGCGAGAGTTTAGAAATGTTGGTGTAGTACCTTTATTTAAAATGCAAAGATTTTTGGTAATTATATAATCATAAAGTGACTTACCTCTAGCGTTATTATCCTTACTGCCCCAACTGAAGTAATAATAAATTTATTCAATTAATCAAAATTAATTACATTAATGAAATACACTTTGTTATTGAATAAAGGTACTCGATAAGTGGTTACCCACTTGTTTCGAGAAAAATAATTAAGAAAAAAGAAATAGAACTTACAATAATAAGCTACGATATCCTAACTGCAAAAGACATATAATTAAATAGAAAATATGATACATAAATAGCAGATAGAAATAAAAATAAAAATGAAGGAAGGGATAAATATAAGGTGATACGTCAAATACAATAAAAAAAAAACTATAGCAAATTTAAGGTGAGTACTTTTGATAGTTTTGATTTTATAAGTTCATTAATTTGTTTCCTAGGAATTTCATACATGAGTTTTTAACTTCTTTTTTATATTTTATTTTATTACTAATTTTTTTTATTCTTTCAGGAAATTGATTATAAATTTTGGGTGCTAGATAAGCAAAGGATCTCTGACTTAAAGATTTACTTAATTGTGGAAGAACATGTAAATTTTTATTACGTGTATTGTAATCGTGGTTAGGTACATTATTGTTTTTACAGTTGAAGTGAAATTTTTGAGCTACACAATAGAAATACAACTGCCTTAGATCCAATACTTTACTTTCTGAAAATAAGAGGTCACTGGGATACAGTCTTTCCCGAGAAAAAATTACTTTCAAAAATCTTTTTTGTAATATTTCAAGTGACTGTATATGGCACCTTAAAGCATTTCCCCAAACTATAATACCATACCTAAAATGACTTTCTGCGAGAGCATAGTAGAGTGTTATTAGCTGCTTTTCTGGAAGGTATTTTTTTAAATATTTGAATTTGTACAGAATGCTTTGAAGTTTTTTAATAGTATAGTTGATATGGAATTCCCATTTCAAATGACTATCTACATATATTCCAAGATATTTAATTTCGGATACCTGCTGAAGCACATAGGGGTGTCCATTAAATTGTACATTAAGTTCATTAAATGGAGGAAGACCTCTAATGTTGCAGCTAAATGGTAAGTATTTAGTTTTTTCTAGATTTAAAGTGAGAGACATGTTATCAAACCAACCTTTTATTTTAATGAAATCTTTTTCTACTATATTTTTAAGTTCATTCCAATTTTCAGCATTATAAAAAATTGCAGTATCATCTGCAAAACCTAAAACACTACCTCTGCTCTCGATGGAAAACAGACCATTGATGTATATATTGAACAGTATGGGTCCTAAGACACTGCCTTGAGGTACTCCGTACTCAATTATCTGTCGACTACTAGTTTCCCCATTTACTCTTACAGTCTGGTATCTATTGGTTAGGTAGCTTTTAAATAAAGATAAACAGTTTCCTCTTATTCCTATGTCTTCTAGACATTGTATGAGCAAGTGGTGATCAACGGTATCAAACGCCTTACTAAGATCTAGAAATAGACATAAACATGGTTGATTTTGCTCCAGACTTTGATGTATTTGGGTTATTAAAGCTAATAAGAGTAATAAGGCATCATCTGTACATTTTCTTCTTTGAAACCAAACTGCATGGGTGATAAAATTTCGTATTTGTTTAAAAAAGAATTGAGTCTATTTTTTATTAGCGACTCAAAAATTTTTGATAAGTGAGTCAATAGGGAAATTGGTCTGTAATTACTACATATAGCAGTATCACCTTTCTTAAAGATTGGTACTACGATAGAGGTTTTGAAGGCTGTTGGAAAAATAGCTTGTTTAATGCAATTATTTAGTATATATGTTAACGGATTTGCTATATAAGATGCCACAACTTTTAAAACTTCTGCACAAATATCATCACAACCCGGCGACTTCTTATTTTTTAAGCCTTTGATCAGATTTAAAACTTCAATTTCATTTGTTTCTAGGAACACCATTGAATTATTTTGTGTAATTTTAGTAAACTTATGAGAATTATCATTTACAATTTTGTTTGCCAAATTCTTTCCCACTTTAGCAAACTGTACATTAAATTCATTGCAGATGTCGTTAGTATTTAATAACATTTCATCATCTTTATTTTTAATTTTTTCAATTTTAGTTTGGAGTTTTGTGTTCCCACTCAGACTTTGGACACTGCGCCATAGTTCGCTAGAACTGCCTTTATTTAAATCAATTTGGTTTTTGAAATAGTTAAATTTAGTGATGAGCGTTTGAGTCGCAACCTATTACCAGCTCAAACTTCTGTTCCAGGCAGTATTCAATCAGATCCTCCATTTCTTTGCTGGGTGGTGGCGTGGTTGCATCGGAAGGGAGGTATGCAGATGCCAGGATTAACGTTTTCTTTTCCCTTTTGATGGCGTATTCCATCCTATCCGCAGTTAAATCGGAGGTGGAAAGGTGCGCCATTGAGTAGGCTTTGTATTCCCTAGGAATGTAAATGGCTGTCCTAGGTTGTTGGTTGCTGGGAAAGCTAAAAATTGAACCATTTAGATTTTTAAGACCTAAAATTTTGGTTTTTATTATCCAGGGTTCCTGGATGAGTGCTATTGTATCTTGCAGCTCATCAAGGCGGCGGCATAATGTTGCCGTAGCCACCCTTTTGTGCTGCAAGTTACATTGTATGATAGTTACCTCTTTTATTGCTTCCCGGTCTTCCGTTAAAAATTGGGCAGCAAGGTGGTTTTTTTATTCGACCATCCCTTCCTTACGAAAGTGGGGAAGGGGTGGTCTATTGTAGCTCCTCGGAGTTTTCATGCTGGAGGTCATCGATTACCATTTTTTCTGGCTCGACGTCCTCCACTGTTGGCTTCAATTGAGGGGGAAGAGGGTCCTTTACCAAGGAGTCTTCACTGGGCCCCGCTTCAGCCTCTTTTTCGACCTTTTGCCTTATAGTCAATGAGGTGAATGCATAGCTGATCCTCATTGATTTGGCCTTTAGGGTTCCCATGTCTTCGTCTCCGATGCCGAAGACGAAGAGATGGCTCTTGTGGTCTTTTCATGGTGGAAGGTGCACCACTTCGCCACATGTAAATTTGGGTTTTGCCCCTCAAGTCGCCTGAGCACAACCTCTTTCTCGTCTAGGTCAGCTTGCGCTTCCCCTGGGATCCAGAGAGAGGCTTTGGTGAGCTTGGGGAGCTCGTCCATCCTCACAACAGCGAGTGTCGCTCCTTCCCATGTTTTTAAGGTTGGTACCTTGGTTTTTAGCCATTCCAACGTCAGGTCATCGTCGCACGTTACTTTGATGATTTCACCAGAGTGCGTCCAAGAAGGTGGGTGGCTTGGTTTTGCTGCAGGAGGCGGACAAAATTGTTTTGTCCAGCTCTCGCATCAATATCTTTTTGACAAGGATTTCTCTTTTGGTAGTTATCTTACCGCAAGGGTTATCCTTGTCTATTATAGCTACTTTCAGGTGGCTCGTAGCTGCATCCTTGAGAAAGGATATTGTAGTCTTATTTTTCTAGGATTAAACCAAAATGTCTATTTATATAAATTTCTTGCTATTGGCAGCGATCAGCGGAGCTATAACTCTATCAATATTACGAAAATCAGTTTTCTACTTTGACATATTTTTAAATCTAATGAACACAATACAGAGTGGAATAAAAATGGCAATAACTTTCATTAAGTTTATTCTGCCATCTATTTTAAACTAGCAAAATCTCTATCCGTCTCTACATAATAATAATGGTCTCTAGCTTAAAAAGACTCAAATAGACTGGCCACCTGGTGGTCCTTTCGGTATCAAACAAATAAATGCATTGGACTAACCTACTATATAGATATATTTATACAATGTTATTAGTATTGAAAAGGGCATTTCGGAAGATTTAGATGTATTGGATATCTTAACAGAATTTGCATTAAAAAGGCCAGAAAAACAAAGTTTATCTAGGCTTTTATGAGTGACTATTATTAATAGATATTTTTGCGTATGTAGGTATATATTTATTTGGTTTTTATATTAGTAAATTAATAATTTATTAATGTGTTAATGTGTTAGGTTGTAAAACTAAGAAATAAACCAAATTTCTCATATTTTCTATAATTTGTTGTTTTGTTTTAAGGTAAAATATTCATAATTATGGTATGAAGAAGGGGGGGTGGCGGAGAATTTTGCTCGCACATGGAACGGTCCTATTACCGATATTACCGCTATTACCGTAGACAGTAATTACTTAGTTATCAACGCACTATTATAATATATGTAAAAGGGCTCAATATCATATCAAATCATATTGTTATTTAATAGCACTTATTCGATAGACTAAAGATTAAATAATTTTATCGAGATTATTAAACAAATGATGTATTTTATATCTATATTCTAATGAGTTTCACAAACATTCAGTTTGCTGTGAGTCGATAATCGAGAAGTAATTATTGTTTTACCTCTCGGTAAATTTTATTCAAAATGGATAAAAATGAATCAAAGATTCCACTTGAAGAAAGAAGCATGGAGGAAAAGGAACTTAAAAAACTGATTCACACATTTCAAGGTATGACTAAAGTGCTTTTATTTAACATAATTAGAACTGTAGTTTTTGCCTCGTTTTTAGTTTTTTTTTGTTATATTCATAAATGTAGTTTAACTGGATATGATTTAGAAAAATTATGTAGGCCCCGTTTATTTTAATTTCTTTCTCCTCCCTTTCAAGGGAGAAATTTTGCTCATTAGATCAATTTTTCTTTGCCCATCTCTTTCGTAACATCTTCTATAGGGAACCTAATTAAAAATACCCCCTTTTAACTATAAGAATATGTGTTTTAATTTTAAAAAGATTCATTAAATACCAATTGTTATATCTGGTATTACTTTGGTTCGGTTTTTTGAAATACGTACCCACTTATGGTCATTAAAATAATATACCGCTCCTCCTTTTTAACCATGAAATTTAATTAGAAACTCACATGGTCCGCCGTAGGATTCGAAGCCGCTTTATTTCTTGACAACAAACTTGCCTATAAATAAATATAAGCGCGTGAGACAACTACGTTATCGACAGAATGTTTTGAGTGATTACGCCATCTGTGAGCCGATGTGTGAAAGTTGAATACATGCTTGTGGCGCGTATTTGAGGCCTATCAAACAAAACTTGTCATATTCATTTTGGGTAATTTTGCCCAACAAGCTAGAAACCTTTATACCGATTATTTTTTTGTTTTTTATTTGAACAAAGTAATACCTTTAGCATTAAAAAAAAGAAAGGTAGGATATTTTGTACTTAAAGTGAAAACCACCATAATAGTTAAAAAGCAACAATAATTTGGATACAAGTATTGCAGTGTCACTTTGGATTTGACAAGTTATGCAATATGAAGAAAATGAAACATTTATTTTAAAGAAACGTTCTCTGTATCTGTAACGTGTGGAGGGTGGGTTACCCCCACGGCAGTTAGGCCTCATTAGGCCCATTGTGCATCCTCCTGAGATGATAGGCACCTCCTAGCTCGTGAGCCAGCCTACAGATTTTATGTAGTTGACAACGTGGCCAAGAGGTGCTTCTCTTATATCGGCCGGTGTTAGCCGATACTCGCCGAACACACACATTCTAATAAATGAGAGCGTCGGGCAATCGTAAAGTATATGCTCGATGGTCTCATCTTCTTGTTCGCACCCTCTGCAGAGTGCGGATTCTGACAGCCCCATGATATGGAGATGCTTTCGTACTTGGTAATGACCAGTCGGAATGCCTGTGACTAGGCGCATATTCTGTCTAGTCATAGTCAAGTATTTGTTTGCTGCAGTGTTGTCAGGATAACTTAAGAGCTCCCTGGCAACTCTGCAGTTTCTTGTTTCATCCCATCTTTCCTTGAATTTCACAAGGGAATGTTCTTCGATTAGGTCTGTCACTACCGATTTTGTCAGGCCAATAGAAGGGCCAGCAAGACGGTTACCTATCGATGTGTCATGACCTTTGATCCATCTTAAGGTGACCACATTTGATGGATAATTCGGCCAAAGCTTCGTGACATTCTAGTACTAACCCTGTTCAGGGTGAGTAGTGCTTGTCTGCTATCTGTATAGATGAGCATGTTCCTTCCAGTGATATTGTTTCTGGTTATTTCTTTTGCTGCTATGAGAATACCCGTTAGCTCTGTTTGAACTACACTGGCACTATTGCTCATAGCCCATTTTATGTTTAGGCTTAAGAATGAATCGTACCTGCTACTTCCGGCTCTTCTTTTTGTTCTATTATAACTTTATATGGCTTATGGAAGATATATCACGGTGGGATGAAGTCCATGTTAGCTTGAATGAGTGGGAAAGTATCGAGCGCCTCCTGCCAAAAGCGACGTCTTGCCTCACCAGATCCTACATCAGGTTCTATTCCAACCGTGCGGAGGCGTGTCATTGTCGTCAGAGCAACCTCCTTGATGTAAATATCAAGGGGGGTGAGACTGAGAATTACTACCATGGCTCTGGTCGGTGTTGTTTTCATGGCTCCTGTTAGAAGAGTTGAGTCGTATCCCCCCACTAACCATTTGTGGAACATTCCTGTTGGTTAGTGAGTGTATTATCTTTGGGAAGGTGGTTTTATCAAAAGCACCTTCTATGTCTATGAAAACACCCAAGGCGGACTCCTTATTGACCAGGGATCTTTCTATCCGGCCAGCAACTAGATGAAGGGCTGAATCAGTAGATCTGCCTGGGGTGTATGCATGTTGGTTTGGATGTAACGGTGTTGTTGTAATCACCGTATCCTTTATGTACCTTTCGCATAGTCTTTCCAATGTCTTCATGGAAAACGATGTCAGACTAATTGGTCGGTATGTTTTTGGTACAGTGTAATCCATCCTTCCAGGTTTGGGTATAAGAAACGTTATAATGAAATATAAAAAATTAGATTCTTGGATCAATATCCTCTTCTGGCATTCTTGGTTCACAAAAGTCTTCCTCGAGCTCGTCGATGGTATCCTGAGTAACACCTGCTTGACTGATAAGAGTGTTTTGAAAAACGATAAGTCTTCTCTCTCTTGCCATTCTTCTCCGAAATGTTTAATTAGCAATTTGCTGGTTTTACTTGGAACCTATTCAAATAATCTGACCAAAAAAATGCTCGAGTTTTTGCCTTTTTTTTTTAAATTGGTTTGGCTGTTCCTGTATTTGAATTATAATAAAGCTCCCCACATATTTCTATTTTTGTTGTTTGTAAATATAAATCTGTTGGCAAGTGAAAACTTAAAGTGCCATGATCCAATGGGTTTAAAAAAACTCTCTAACACTAGACTTCCAATCCATTACTGAACAGCATTCCCTAAGATAGCAACATTTCCATGTTCTTTACAAATATCCAGGTAAGTTTTGGGATCGGTGATTGTTGGCTGCTTTTTAAGATTCTCCCAAAAACTATCTGGAGGCAGAAATGAATGCCCTGGTATTGGAAAAACTAATTCAATACTGGTTATATTTGAGGGGGCAACTTGAGACAAAAATAAGATAGCATGCCAATCATAGTTTAGTTTCAGTTTTGTCCCCCACATCCATCACCACAAAGTCTTATTATTAAATATGATGAGAGGTCAGTTTTTGAAAGAATACTGTATACTACTGAGGCAATTTCGTTTGATCCTTTATGAAACTGATGTTCCATCCAAATAATAATATATATATTTTCATTGTTCATTTTTGTCCTGGAAGAACCTTGAAGTGAAGTGAAATTATAGGTATATAACTGCCTACTGTAATCGGCAATCTGATCTGGAACCTTGCAATTTACCAAATTTTTTTGGTAGTCAAACGAGAAAGTAATATTATCCTTAAGTTTCTCGGAAAACGCCTTTGATCTTAAAGTGTGGATTCTTTTTTCTACCATCAAGCTAGTCTCCTTGGCAGGATCATTTTTGAGGTTAATTTTGTCTGCTAACTTAATACATTTGGAACAAGCATCCGTCACAAGGACTTTGTTTTTCTTTACATTAGGGATTGCATCGTGTGACTGATTATATATTTTCCAAAGCTTATAAATACTTAAATGGCTGCCTTAATACTGTTGATTACCCATCTTTACTCGACAATAGTGACTTTCGACACCTTTCAAGTTTTCGATAAATTTTCGAGCAGCAATCCTTTTTTGCTCATACTTCTTACTACCGCGATCACCATCCCGATTTTCTGTGGGTATATGTCTTGTTTATAAATGCCTCTCAACTACTCTCTGAACTCGATCTCTGGAGATACCAAGAACATCTAAGAATGCTTTCTGACATACCTGTATTTCGAACTTCTGACAAGCTGATTTTTTCATAAAATATCTTGTTGACATACTTTTCCTGCTGCTCCCTTCTTTTTTTTTGGCTATTACGTTTTGGTTGAAGACTTTTTCAATATTCTAGTATGTAAGTATCTTGCATCGTTTTAGTTTTACATGCGATGTTAATTTCTTACACTTATAGGTTTTTCCATCATGATTGCATCTAAAGCAATAAAACATTTATAGTAAGTTTTGCTCTATAATAAAACTTCTAAAACATATCTGCTTCGTTTGGCTATTCCTCTTTTCCATTTGGATTTATCGGCCATATTCTTTCGGCTTTTTTGCCTCTACAGGAATAATTTTACGCTCCATTTGATTTAAGTGCAAAAAATAGTAACTTACTAGCTAAACTATCTACAACACAGTATTCAAAATACTTTTTTAATAATCAATTTTAATAATTAAACAAGCCCACAATGACAGTACACAGTGAATAAAATCCGACATGTCTAAAAATTAATGTCCGCTGTGAGCACATACTTTGATTACTATACGGTGCAATTGAGACGTCCGACACGCCCAACATAGGGCGCGGCCATTTTGATGCAATTACTACTAGGTTAGGCAACACATTTTTCCAAAATGTTAAACTAGTAGCCTACATCTTGGTATTTTAAGATTTTAAATGAAGGCAACAAATTTAGAAGAAACGTTTATTTATTTTAAATAATATACAAGAAACTTTTTTTAAGTAAAGTTATAATTCCGAGTGCATCTTGAAAAAGAGGTGAGTGGTTTTAAATTATTTCCAAAGCTGTGCATATGATTTTACCTTAATATTATGATATTTTTCGCCAGTCTCATGCCCATGAACACACATTCTATTTTTGTAATGTAATAAAAATCTTTGAGGCTAAACAATCCAATATTATATTTTGCATTTTTTCAGCTGTAAATATGGTACGAAACTATAAAATAAAAACAAAGAAATGTGAGATTAAAGAAGCTTCAAAAGATAGTTGGTTTGTGTTTTTATCTTTTAATTTATCTGAAACAGATACTTTGAATTTATATAATAGTTATATTGTTTTTAAATTAGTTTTATGTAGTTGATAAATTTTTAACTAAAGCAGTTGTATTGTTCATCTACAAATGAATCTTCTTTCAGTTGTTACACAGTAAGAAATTGCTGAATATTTTCTATTCAAGAAAATACCCCTATGGGCTCTAAAAAACGTTTTTGTTACCTTTATGATTCCTGTGTGTCTAATGTATCAAATTAATGTATCTGGATCTGTGGTACTTTTGCTTCTCAAAAATTTCCATTTATCCGAAATCGTTACACAGTTACTGTACCAAATAAAAAAATTAAATATTACAGGTAATTTTCTAATTGTTCCAGAGGGAACTCTTTTCTTAGTGAAACTGTGGACTACATCTACTTTCAGGTGTATAAATGAGCCAGAGGTAGTAAACCTGAAAGAAATAAAAACAATTATTATAATATATACAGTATGGTTCAAATGAAAGGAATAAATTCATTATAATGGAAGTAGTTGGTTTTTCGAAAAAATGCTCGAACAGGTCAATTTTGTTTACACAAAGCGCAATTTTTTAAATAAAATTCAATTTTCCCCCACTTCCCATTTTTGGGCAGTGACGTCATTGACAATTTTTTTAAATAGTAATCCCAATTTTTTTTTCTTGATTTTGTTAGATCTTGTAATTTCTTACTCGAAAACATAATATTTGAAATATCTTACATAACAATTTTTTTTTAATAAGTCATTTAAAGATCAGACACATAAATTTTATTTTATTTTGAGAACACAATAAATGAATAAAAGATAATTATTTGTAATTAAGTGCCTAATCTAATAAAATAATAATAATACTTTTAATAATAATAATAATAATAATAATAAAAAAGAATTTGTGAAATTGTCATTAAATTCTTTTTATTAATATTATTATTATTTTTTTAGATGAAGCACTTAATTACAAATAATCTTTTACTCATTTATTGTGTTTCAAAATAAAATAAAATTTATGTATCTGATCTTTAAATGACTTTTATTCAAAAAAAATTGTTATGTCAGGTATTACAAATATTATGTTTCTGAGTAGGAAATTGCAAGATCGATCAAAATCAAGAAAAAAAAATTGGGGTTACTATTTAAAAAAATTGTCAATGACGTCACTGCCCAAAAATGGGAAGTGGGGGAAAATTGAATTCTATTTAAAAAATTGCGCTTTAAGTAAAAAAAATTGACCTGTCCGAGCATTTTTTCGAAAAACCAACTACTTTCATTTTAATGAATTTATTCCTTTCATTTGAACCATACTGTATATGTTCCAAAAAGTAAACAATATTACTTACATGTTTATTTATATTACTTCCTTTGATTTTATTACTGCTCCTACCTATTGAAGTAAATACTTCAATTTTCTTGGTATTTGCCTTCTACAAAAAATTGTTTCATGATTGATCACATACCTTTTTACATAAGAGCAATAAGTATTTTCCTCAAAATGCTGAGAACAGACATAACAGAGTTTAGCTAAAAACAATTTCTAAACAATTTGATTAATGGTTTGTAAACACTGTTCAAGTTAAGTGCTCGAAATTCCTAGGAGACCTGAAAATAAAAAGCATTTAGAACAATAGGAACATAATTAAAGTAGTTACTGTTACTTACAAATGAAAATATTTAGCATAAAATCACCAAGTAAAGTAAGGTTTTTAAGATATTCATTATTTGTTAATGGTTTTGTAAAGTGTAGGTTCGTAAATAATATCTTTGGGGATTGGCTTTGGGTAAATATTATAACATAACCACTAAAACTATTGCGCCAAGATGTAGGCAACACGTAATAATTGTTCAAATTGGCGGAGTTTTCAATCTCCTTTTAAAAGGCACTCAGAAAGCTGCGCAGTGATACCATTCTGCGTATAGTAAAAGAAAATCGAAGTATGTGGCTGTGAGTCACGCCACCCGCAATGGATTATTCCTATTGGTCAGGAAGATAACACGTGTTATGCTTTGGTAGCATGCCTGGATTATGGGTCCTATGATTGAACGTTTATTTTATCCGTAACGTACATGGGGTCCTATGATTGAACGTTTACGTTATCCCTAACGTACATTTTAGGCCGAATTTTAAAAATAACGAGGCAAGTTCGTATGATGGAAACCTGTTAAATTAGAGTGCTTTAGGCGGAAAATAACAGTAATGTGTTGGAAAAAGTTTTCCATCATACGAACTTGCCTTGTTACTGTTAAAACTCGGCCTAACATGTACGTTACGGATAACGCAAACGTTCAATCATACGACCCATGTTAGGTCGAGTTTTAACAGTAACGAAGCAAGTTCGTTTGATGGAAAACTGTTAAATTAGAACATAACATGCGGAAAATAACAGTAATGTGTTGGAAAAAGTTTTCCATCTTACGAACTTGCCTCATTAATGTTAAAACTCGGCCTAACATGTACGTTACGGATAACGTAAACGTTCAATCATAGGACCCAATACCAGTTTTACTTTGATTGCGGTATTTCACATGTAAAATTAAACGGGATACAGCTGATTTTGCTACGTTTTAACTTTACCGACTGCTGCGAGTCAACTCAGGCTAAATAATGCAATATTTAACTCAATTTTCATAAAATGTGGATAAGGCGAGTTTTTCTTTGAACTAATACTCTTACTATGTAATTTTACCAGAGTATGTCATTATAATATTAAGCACAATTAAATTCCTTTAACGACAGGCAGATTTTCCTTGTTGAATGTGTAACATTGTATTCAATCTGTTCTAGTTTATTCTGATATCTATGCCAGTTGGTTTAACAAATGCCATCCCTCTTCTTTTCACACACTACATTTCTGTGTTTATACTTTCTTTAACTAGTAACTTAATCATAATATGTGTTTAAGCCCATCTGTACCACCTGTCATCTTCCGAAAAATGTTTCAATGTTCCAGAAAATATTTGCACTTATTTTTTTAATAATGTTAATTATTCTTTACAGAAAATGATCCAGCGAGTTTTGAAGAGGCCATTGTTGCAACTGGATTTGGAAAATATAACTACATCTTGCTATTTTGTATTATTTTTCCTTCTATTACTCAAATGACTGAAACTGTTTCCATATCGTATGTGCTACCTGTGGCAGAATGTGATCTAGATCTTTCGCTCGAAGACAAAGGAATATTAAATGCAGTCACATTTGCAGGTAAATAAATATCCTTGGAAATTGCTTTTTTTAATATTGACGTATTTATATTACATAAACTCAAAGTAGTTAGCTCTTCCTTAATTATTAATCTTTTTTTAGGTATGATAGTCAGTGGTCTTTTCTGGGGTTACATGATTGACGCTTTAGGAAGAAAACAAATTATAGTTTACGGATATTTCGCGACTGGATTTCTTTCGATGACCGCAGCTTGTTCCTCTAGTAAATTTGTGCTAATTATTGCCAAATTTGTTGGAGGACTTATGTACGTATTAACTGGAATAATATCTACCTATATAGCGAGTATATTACAGAATAATGTCACTAATCTTAAAATATCTTTCAAAACTCAAAAAAAAAAAAACATTAAATCGCTACTTTCCAAAGACATTCCTTGCTACTTTCTAAAAGTAAAGACAATATTGACAAGTTGTCAAGGAATGGTACTTACAAACTCTTAGACTTAGTTTAAGTACAAACTGCAAAGGCGATTTTAAATCAGATACAATGTCTTGAATATGAATGACTGCGTTCATCAGACGCAAGAGTTTACTTATTTTCTGCTGAACGACAACGTTTCTCAACGTTGCGCGAAACAGTTGTCGGATCAGTCGCCATTTTTTGGAGCGTATTTAATTTATGCTACCTTTCTAGTAAACATGTTGCACATTCTGTTTTTGAGGTTAAGATCAACTTAAAAATAGATTAAAGACGAGGGTGCCGATTTAAAACATGTAGTCTAGGATCCGTAAGTAAGGACGACCTTCACCCATCTGTTTAATGGATAAAAGTTTTTTTTTATTAAATAAAATATGTTTTTAAATATACCGCAAATGGGTTGCCTAAGAAAATACAGTCACGGCTATTTTTTACTTTCCTTTCTGTGTACAGCCTTTCCGACACATGTATTTTATATGTGGTATTTCTTCATGTAATATACATTTGTGTTAGCGGGCGTATTTTATTATTATTATTATTATGTATTTTATTTTTATTATTATTAAATCATTTAGTTTTATGATTTTAGTTTAAATGGTCCCTATTCAGCATCAACTACTCACATAACAGAATTCCATTCATCAAAACATAGAGCAAACGTTAATATGGTAAGAGGCTTCATTTTAAGTATTGCAAATATACTTATACCGGTATTAGCTTGGGCGGTTTTGCCAAGAAAAGTGGAAATCTCCGTTTTAGGCTTATTTGGTAAAGTATGATTTAAGTTTTCTATTATCTACGATATTTTTTTAAATAAGAACCATGTATATTATAACGAAAAAGAAGCCTTCTTAAAAAATAGAAATCTCAAAATTTATGTAATATAAAAGAATTTGGGAAAGAAAATAACTTTTTTGTTGGTAAAGATTTGAGTTAGTGAAATAAGTTCGAATAACCAAAGTTCGAATTAGACTTTTTCCTGCGGTCGACCATACCCAAACCCAGATAACAATTATACATTCTTAGCATATTCTCAGTATATGCTTTTTAAGAATGTGCATATGCTGAGAATATACTTTATTTGCATTTGGCACATTCTCAGAATATACCAAGAATATGCTACGTGACGTTGTTTATACGTGCTATGCAGATGCTGAGAATGTACTCGAGTATGTGTACAGTATGCAATAGGTATCTACTTTAATTTAATAGTACGTTCTAAGTATATGCTTAGTATTTAAATATAGCATATGCTAGGCATATACTAGACACCCTAATATAGGATGTTTCATTAATATTGAACAATAAAGAATAAGTGTATATAATGAAATCTTTATTTCAAAAAATCATACTTATTCTTATTTTTAATACAAATTCTTCCTTTGGCCTTAACTAACCAATATTTCATTGTATCAATGGCTTGAGTTTCATTTGCTTGATTCCATTGGATCGTCATTGAACCTAAAAAATAAAAAAAATCAACAAACTTGGTACATATACAAATTAACTGTACATAGCTAATGGAATATTTTAAATATTTTTGTCGAACGTGAAACATTAAAAATTGTACATGGCATTTCACTAACAAAAACAAGAGTTACATATAAATGATTATTATGTTTAGTGAAAGTTTAAATATATTTTTGTTAATTACTTACCACCATTTTGTAGTTTTCCTCCTCCTTTAGCTTATTTTCTAGTTCTTCCAGGTCAATTTCTGGCCTTACAGAATTTTTTTCATAGAAAGTGTATGTAATTCTGGTAACACTAAATTTTAGTTTTAATCCACCATTAGTATTAACCATATTAATAAATTCACACTGGCAATTAATATTTGGGATATTCTGTGTTCTAACTTCACTTATAGGTCCTAAAAACTACAAATATAGTAAAATTTGTTTATTTTTATATAGAACACACGATGCAATTAATTTTTACTAATTTACTTATTGAAACGAGATGTGAACGAGATCAAAGAAATTTCTAGGAATTGTAGGTTATGTTATTCTTCTTCTTCTTATCTTTTATTAAGGTTGTTTTTGGCCTAAACATTAGTGCGTTTGCTAACCAATTAATAGATAGGTATCTGGGAAAAATTCATATAGATATGTATATAAACGTTTTTTTAACATGTATTTGGTGTTAATTTTTACCTGCAAGCATTTAGAACATTCTCAGAATATGAGGTACATGCTGGGTATATGACTTTTAGTATCTTCTTAGAATGTCCTGTTATAGCACGTGCTCAGTATATACTTTTTGGAATATACTTTTAAGGCACGTGCTCAGCATATACTTTCTAGAATATACTTTCAAAGTATATACTAGGTATGTTCTAAGAACATACTAAAAAGGACATACTAAAAAGAACATAAACAGAACGTTCTTAGTATACTTATTCATAGAACATTGATGTTATGTGGGAATTACTTCCTTGTCCCACTTTAAGGTATCTATGAAGATCAGTATTGCGGCAGTACCCAGGGTACATCGACGATGTTCCTTAATACTTTTTGAAAACGTTGAATAACTTGGATGTTACTTTTACTGACACAGCACCAAAGCTGGATACCATACGTCCGTACGGGTTTCAATATCTGCCTATAAAGAAGCAGTTTGTTGTATGTGAATAATTGGAATGACTTCCTAGCAATCAATACATTCTTTTGTATTTTATATCAAGCTATCCGCGTTTCTTTTTAATATGGACTTTCCAGTGAAGTCTAGCATCAAGTGTCATGCCCAGATATTTTGCTGTATTGACAAAAATGATTTGAGTGTCTGGCGTAAGTACATTCTGTTTTGTTGATGAACCTTGTGCCACACTTTTTCACTTACTGTATATTTGTTAAATGCTTTTTGCATTTCTTCTAGTTGAAGTTGCATTGCATTTAGTTGATTAGCCATGCATTCTTTCTCAAATTCTGATTTTTTCCATGCGGTAAATAATGCTTGATCCTTTTGTGTTTGTGAACTAGCATTATTTTCTTCTATCCAACTCGCCGTATTTGGTGAATTAAACACCGCGGTCGCTTGATTTTCCATCTTTTCCTGAGGTATATTTAAATTAATTTTGTCACCTGATTTAAAACTGAATTTTCAACTTTAACACCCAGTAATATTTTATCTAAGAATGTTTCGTTTAATAGTCTTATCTTTAATCAGAGATTCTTTAGTAGTTCTATCCCATATGTTTTTCTACTAATTTGTAGACTTGACGATGGATTAAAGCTAAAACTGGTGGTTAACATTTCAAATAAATATTTTGTGTGGGATCATTTTGTTGCTATTATATTTTAAACAATGACCTTTACACATCAAAGATTTTTGCTTTAAAATTTGAATTTAGTTTTAACATTTGATTTCAGTTCTTAGGTCATGGAATGTATTTTTGTTAATAGCCGCTTTTTGTCCAATAATAAGTGGCTGTCTGTACGTTTTTTTACCAGAGAGCCCTAAATTTCTCATGACAATAGGGAAAAATAGACGAGCACTACTTGTGATGCAAGAAATATACGCAATGAATAGTGGCAATCCAGCAAAAAGTTATCCAGTGAGTACTTTTTAACCTTTTTTGTTAAAAAAATATATATTTAAAATTTATTTACATTATTATTACTGTAATAGCCTAATTGGCTGACAGAGCGTCTACCAACATGTAAAACCTTAAATATAGAAACATCATTATAAAAAATATTCAATAAAGTTTTCTATATTTCGGGTGCGTTATTTAATTTATTTAACCTTGGTGATATTATTTATATATTTTCTATCGATTTCTTGCTTTCCAGAAAAATATTAAGTAATTTTTTCTTAATCATATTTTGTGGTGATGTCCTCTAAGCGTTGTTTGGTAAAAGTACCTATGTTTTTATTCGAATGTGACATAAAACGTCGTTTTCGGACAGAAAACATAATCGAAAATGAGTACTTTTAAATACACTACAAACGAACTACTAAAAAGTACTTTTAGAGCCCAGTAAACATTGTTTTATTTTTGATTTACCTTTTAATACTGCCGACGATATTTTTTTGCTATTGCAAAATAGTAATCCATAATCCATATGTACATCAAATTTGAATAGAAACATTTTTTACCCTTTGTTACCTGATCAATCAAAATAGCAACAAGTGTGTTTGCCGAATGTGAATGTAGAATTAAAATCACATGGATGGATGGATGGATGGATGGATGGATGGATGGATGGATGGATGGATGGATGGATGGATGGATGGATGGATGGATGGATGGATGGATGGATGGATGGATGGATGGATGGATGGATGGATGGATGGATGGATGGATGGATGGATGGATGGATGGATGGATGGATGGATGGATGGATGGATGGATGGATGGATGGATGGATGGATGGATGGATGGATGGATGGATGGATGGATGGATGGATGGATGGATGGATGGATGGATGGATGGATGGATGGATGGATGGATGGATGGATGGATGGATGGATGGATGGATGGATGGATGGATGGATGGATGGATGGATGGATGGATGGATGGATGGATGGATGGATGGATGGATGGATGGATGGATGGATGGATGGATGGATGGATGGATGGATGGATGGATGGATGGATGGATGGATGGATGGATGGATGGATGGATGGATGGATGGATGGATGGATGGATGGATGGATGGATGGATGGATGGATGGATGGATGGATGGATGGATGGATGGATGGATGGATGGATGGATGGATGGATGGATGGATGGATGGATGGATGGATGGATGGATGGATGGATGGATGGATGGATGGATGGATGGATGGATGGATGGATGGATGGATGGATGGATGGATGGATGGATGGATGGATGGATGGATGGATGGATGGATGGATGGATGGATGGATGGATGGATGGATGGATGGATGGATGGATGGATGGATGGATGGATGGATGGATGGATGGATGGATGGATGGATGGATGGATGGATGGATGGATGGATGGATGGATGGATGGATGGATGGATGGATGGATGGATGGATGGATGGATGGATGGATGGATGGATGGATGGATGGATGGATGGATGGATGGATGGATGGATGGATGGATGGATGGATGGATGGATGGATGGATGGATGGATGGATGGATGGATGGATGGATGGATGGATGGATGGATGGATGGATGGATGGATGGATGGATGGATGGATGGATGGATGGATGGATGGATGGATGGATGGATGGATGGATGGATGGATGGATGGATGGATGGATGGATGGATGGATGGATGGATGGATGGATGGATGGATGGATGGATGGATGGATGGATGGATGGATGGATGGATGGATGGATGGATGGATGGATGGATGGATGGATGGATGGATGGATGGATGGATGGATGGATGGATGGATGGATGGATGGATGGATGGATGGATGGATGGATGGATGGATGGATGGATGGATGGATGGATGGATGGATGGATGGATGGATGGATGGATGGATGGATGGATGGATGGATGGATGGATGGATGGATGGATGGATGGATGGATGGATGGATGGATGGATGGATGGATGGATGGATGGATGGATGGATGGATGGATGGATGGATGGATGGATGGATGGATGGATGGATGGATGGATGGATGGATGGATGGATGGATGGATGGATGGATGGATGGATGGATGGATGGATGGATGGATGGATGGATGGATGGATGGATGGATGGATGGATGGATGGATGGATGGATGGATGGATGGATGGATGGATGGATGGATGGATGGATGGATGGATGGATGGATGGATGGATGGATGGATGGATGGATGGATGGATGGATGGATGGATGGATGGATGGATGGATGGATGGATGGATGGATGGATGGATGGATGGATGGATGGATGGATGGATGGATGGATGGATGGATGGATGGATGGATGGATGGATGGATGGATGGATGGATGGATGGATGGATGGATGGATGGATGGATGGATGGATGGATGGATGGATGGATGGATGGATGGATGGATGGATGGATGGATGGATGGATGGATGGATGGATGGATGGATGGATGGATGGATGGATGGATGGTTGGACAAATGGATGGACGGATGGATGGACGGACGGTAGAACGGGCGGAAGGGGGGAGGGATGGAAGGAAGGATGGACGGAAGGACGGATGGAAGGACGGAAGGACGGATGGAAGGACGGACGGAAGAACGGACGGAAGGACGAACGGAAGGACGAACGGAAGGACGGACATATGGGCGGATGGAGGGATAGATGGACGGACGAACGGAGGGATGGAAAGACAAACGGACGGAAGGAGGGATGAATGGATGAATCATTTTGGATTTAATTTTCTATATTTTTTTTTATATCTATAAGCTCATTCGAATAAAAAATAATGCATAAACTACTATTTTGTTCAATACCTACTTGTATTTTGGACAACTTTTGCAGACCCCTAAAATTATAACTTTATTGTACTTTTCTTTTAGATAAAACGTTTGGCTGAAGAAACTACTCAGAACCTAGCTAGCACGAAAGATCTGAGACTTGCTCTGGGAAACGGGCTCTCACAAATGAAAACAATTTTTCATCGACCTCATTTTAATAATTTAATTCTGGTTTGTTTTAATGCATTTTCTTTAGTCATGAGGTAAATAGTTGAAAAAGATTACCTAATCTATTTGTTTTAATGTTCCTTTAGTGCGTAATTTCTCGATTTTCAATTTGTATTATAAACTTGCAAGCATAAACGTTATGTAGATATGTGACCAGTTACGAAATGCCTTTATTTTATGTTGTGAGCAGAGCGAGGTCCCAAAAAATGAACGAGTTACACAAAACGGCATTTATAAGATAATTTATAAAATTGTATTTGGTAAAAATTTACTAGCATCTATACAACCAATATTACTTACTTACTTTCATGGGAATATTAAGAAAAATAGAAAATCTTATAATTTATTATCAGAAAGTTACGACAGTGTGCTAAACGATACTGAACATTATGTCATAATTATTTACCAAATCCCACGCTATCGGGATTTACAAAATATATTGTAACATATATTGATGACTACTCGTATAAAAAAAGGCTTATTTGTGCGCAGACCAGAAAGACCTACAAATATTTTTATTTAGCGATAAAAAAAGTCCACAGTATTCCTCTACGGATGAGTTAAACGTTTGTCATTAATGTAAGCAAATTATAGAAAAGGAGCTGTTACTTTAAATTATCCATCTTAATTTAGCAGAATGTGTAGTGTCCTCAGTGTTACAAGTTTTTGCAAATTGCACAGTTTTGATCCGCATCCCTTGTATAACCATAATAGAGTACTATTAATTAAAGCTGCAGCTAATAAATATACAAACATTAGGATGTTTTTCCTAATTAAAAATAAAATGAAAAACTGTGATAGCATCATATATCACAATAAAAAAAAACTGTATTGTATAATACTCAATCATAATTTTTATATTATTTTTTATTTTACCATAATAATTTCCCATTATAGGTATTTTTTGTTAGATCAGTTACCATCTAAATAAGAGTTATTTTAAACCATGATATATCAAATGAAAGTTTTGGACTAATTATTCTATAAAAAACAAAATCTTCAACTTACAATGATTTTTTTATTTTTTGAAAATTATTTTATTTTTATTTCATAAAACTTATTTTGTTAATTAAGTATAATTACTCAAAATTAGTTATTATAATCTTAATTAGCCGTTTTAATTCTTTTAATAAATATAACACACATTTCCTTAAAAAAAATGCAGGTTTGGATTGCATTCAAAATTGTCCGTAACTGGCAAATCGGCCATATTGAGTCATAATAAGCCACGCCCAGTGATACCGTTTTGAGTGTTTGAAAAGATGCTTATAGCGTATATAGTTTTTAATATTTTTTATAATTATTCAGAATAATTTTATGATTTTTGCGCCACTTGAAGCTTACGCTCATAGACATGGGCCTACTCTGCCTATACTTAGTTACGGCCATGATCATAGAAAAAAGATTTATTACTCTCTCGATAGTAGAGAAACACTTTCCACCTTACTACATAATAAAATTTTATTTGTTCTTTTATTTACATTTTATCTAAACGATTTACTGTTTTTAGCCTAAATACTTTGAAGTTATGGCTTCCTGGTATATTTCAATCTATAAATGACTATCAAAACAGTCACAATGGAACCAGTTCTACTATGTGTGTTATGTTGGAAGAGATGAACAAACCAAAAGTTGTATCATCTGGTCAAACCTGTAGTGTAGTAAGTTAAACTTATTAATCAAAACAATATTGTTTTGTATGTTTATAAATTGTTTTTTTTTTAGAATTTGGATAACATTTCAGTTTACATCAATACTTTTATAGTTGCATTTGCAAGAATTGCTGCTTTCATGGTTGCTGGAACTTTAGTGAATTGGATGGGAAATAAGAAATTAATCAGTAAGTAATAATAATAATATAATAATAATAATAATAATAATAATACTCTCCCTAATTCACCCCCTTACGAGTGAATTTCAACCCCTGAAGTCGACTGAACGACTTGTGTAGGGGAAGGGACGGCTATTATTATTATTTGCCGTGGCGCTCCGGGGCGACTTAAGGATGATTGATGGTGCCATTTGACTTACAGGTGAGGAAAACCCGGAAAACCTCACCCACCATCATCGAGACGATAATGTATGGCGATTTTATAATCTGCATGTCATATCAATAGAAATTGAATTTCTATTAATACGGCACACATCAAATCCTAAACCGAACCATGCAATTTAATTAAAAATCCACATGGTCCGGTCTGGGATTCGAAGCCCAGCAGTCTCGGAGTCAAATATGTATTTTATTATGTCGTTATTAAGCTTATAAATCCTTACTTTTAATAGCTATTTATGCAACCAGTTACCAAATGCCTTATAACGAGTGAATATTTGCGAGACGAGCAGAGCGAGGTCTCGCAACATGAACGAGTTACATAGAACGGCATTTCGTAACGTGTTACGTACAACATTTTTTCTAATTTTGACTAAATTACTTATTAAATTGTGTTTTGGTATAAAATTAGTGACATCTGGGCAGCCAATATAACTTTCTTGTATTGTTGGTTGCATAAACATAACTTCATTCTTTTTATTGACAGACAAAATCATATTAATTTAGTATCAACATTGTACCCAGATAGCACAAATACGTCTTATGGACGTTTTAAAAACGTCCTGCTTGGACATTCAGGACATCCATAAAACGTCCATTTTACGGACGAGGACATCTTATGGACGTCTCTGGAACGTCAATTGTTAATAATCCAGATGTCTTAAGGACGTCCATTTGAGATTATTCCATGGACATTTTCACAAGTTAAAATAGAGTAATACAGAATGTTTGAGGAATTTAGTGAAAATAATGAAAATTTCTAAATCTTTTATTTGGAAGCAAATATATAAATATATTAAAATTTTTTCGTTGAACTCTTCCCGTCTTTCCTCTATTTTGCCCTTTTCAACCATGCCTGGATTGACAGCTGTTCAGCTTCTTTTCTTGATTTGATCATATTTGCCTTCTCGGCTGAACCTGAAAATTATTTAATTGTTTATTCAAAATGAATGGCAAATCAATCTGAAAATCCAATCTATTTGTTTAAGTTTGCCCTGTTAGGCATTATGAATTCACTAACCTTTTAGCTTTGTAGTATTCACTAGAGTGCAAACTATAAAAAATAATATTAATCAACCACAAACTCACAGAGTCGAATCACAGTCAAATGCCGGAATGACAGAAGTTTATTTATTTATTTTTATTTTTGTATCTATTTATTTTATTTTTATTTAATATTTAGTTTTGCGATACTTCCCATTTCACCATGTCTTATGTGAAAATTCAAAAACCTTGAAATACGTCATTATTTGCTAATATTGAGTAGCTACAATTTCAATTTTCAAGTTCCTACCTTTAAAAAACCTAAAGTCAAACTTTCACCTCCCGTTTCCAACCTTAATATCTATTTATTTATGATAAGTAGCTACAATTCAAATTTTCAATTTCCTACTTTTACATACATACAAACTTTCTCCCTTACCTCCATTTTCCCCTTTCTCACATTTCTCCCCTTTCACCCTTTTTCCCTTAGAATATGAAAACCCAAAATCCCTGAAATAAACTATTTATTTGTGATGAGTATCTATAATTCCAATTTTCAAGTTCCTACCTTTAAAAAATCGATACCCCTACAAAATTTTAACCCCCGTTTCCCCCACTTAAAATGTGAAAATCCAAAAACCCTAAAACACGTCATTATTTATTTATGCTCAGTAGTTGTATTTCAAATTTTTATGTTGCACTACTACCATACAAAAAAAACATGTCTGTAAAAAAAAAACAACAAAGCTATCCCACGGAAACCGTATATTTTCCGGGATAAAAAGTAGCCTGTTTGCTATTCCAGACTATAATATATCTTTGTAACAATGTTCATCCAGATCCGTTCAGCTGTTCTTGCGTGATTGAGCAACAAACATCCATCTATCTATCCATACATCCAAACTTTCGCATTTATATATTAGTAAGTAACGTGTCTTCTTTAAAAACCGAAATTTCGTCCGTTTAGGAAACTAAAATGTCTTCCATAGAAAATAAAATTTCTGCTGTTTTTCCCATAAAAAATAACATTTCCTCCTTAAAAACTAAAGTTTCTTCCGATATATCTTCTTTGGATGATAAAGTTTCTTCTTTAGAAAATACAATTTCGTCTGATATTTCTTCCTTAGATGAAAAGGTGTCTGCTGAAATGTCTTCTATGGAAATTAAAGCCTCCTCTGATATATATTCTATAAGAAAAGAAATGTCTTCTGTCGAGGAGAAATTAAAAGAGATAGAAGAACTGAAACATACAGAACAGGTCAATAACGGTAAAATAAAGTGCCATGAGGTGGAGTCAAAGTTAAAAATTGGAAGGAGTTGTAAACTTTGCTCGTGTTCAAGCCCCAACTTTCGACGGGAAGATGTCGTGGACGAACTACCTTAAACAATTCGAGGAGATGCTTTAGATGTTCTTCAGACAATACCCGTGGAAGAGACGGATGATTTTGAATAACTCAAAAAGATACTCAACATGCAATAAGGCCATGAAAACTTTAAAGAAACGCAAACAGAAACGTGACGAGAGCCTTCAAGAATACGAATTAGATATTGCGAAGATGGTGTGATTTACCTACCCACCAGCTCCGGAATACATGATTGAATGTTTGGCTGTTCAAGCATTTGTTGATGGACTTCGTGACCATGAAATGCAAAGAACACTCCGTTTAGCCTGTGGTCAATGTCTTGTCCGCTGCTCTGGAATATGAAGGGGCTACGCTGGCTTCTGATGGATACAGTGATAAAAAGCCTTATTGAGAAGCAATCGAAGACTATTAGGTGCTGGAATTGCAGTAAAATGGGAAATGTAATGTACGCAGTTCGCGCAAACGTCCAAAGCAGTGGCGGTTTGCCCGTAAGGGCACTTGGGCACGTGCCCTAGTATAATAAACAAACAAAAAAAATAACTTACATATTTTATATTTTCCTCAATGCTTATTATTATTTTATCTAATATTCAGCGCAAACCGTGTTGGCACGACACTGGACGACCGGGCGTTGAGCGACGTTCCGAGAGATGAGCACAGTAAATGTGTGCCTCTGTTGTTTTATCTCTCATTATGATGCGAAAAACAAGGACAACGACAATATCGCTTAGCAAGAGATGAACACATGCGATGGATTATACGTCACAAGCAGGGCGCTGTCCTCAGCGTGACGTGCTTTAGGAGGCTATGACTTTACTCATGGCACAGATTACCTAGACCAGATACGAATGTACGCAGCGGTTTAAGGTGCGAGTTTGTTGGACCATGATAATAATTTATTTATTGTGATTACAAAAAAACCTTAGTTGGACCATTGGAATAGTTAAGAAATAAAACTACAAAGAAAAATAATTTTTTTTTTTATAAAGAATTCAAAAATATGATAATAATATTTATAAATGTGACAAAATTTTAATTTTTCTTTTGGTTTTTTCTGACTTTTTCGAAGATTTCAAATCTCTGTTTGCATATTTAAGAGTATAAAAAATTCTAAGTCTTATAAATAATTTAATGGTGTACATTTTCGCAAATTGTTGGCAAGGAAGACCAAATTCTATTTTGCTCATCTCAAAAATGTATGCGTTGGAAATTCCAGGCTTAGTTGACAAACTATCAAATAGATATATAAATATTTTTTCTAATTTGAATATATAAAAGAGAAATTTTTCGCTGTGAGATTTTAAATTGCCAAACACTTTTTCTTCAGAAATTTACGAAAATTTCGCAAGAGTGGATATGTAATGATTTTTTGATTAAATAGCCACATACATAGTTATATGCATTTTGAGTGGTCACATTTAGCTCCCTGTAGTCACATTCAGAAATCGTTATTGCCCCAACTGATTGTTTTGAAATATATTTAATTTTAATTAAGCTGAGAACTTGTTTTCCTAAGGGAAAAACGAATCCCGGGATTCCTTTCCAGTGTGTGCCCCACTGCCGCTAGTGCCCACGAGCCGCCACTGGTCCAAAGAACACTATGAATCGAAAAACCGTGTCCGTGGCTGTACAAGAAGAAACGGTGGTGTCTGAGAGAAGTGAAACCAGAAGAGTAACGCGGTTGCAAGAAACTGTAGAGAAAAGAAACGTCTGTTATGGTGGAACCGTCGAAGTGTAAAGGTGTTGGTCAAAGAACTCTGTTTGGAAAGGGGTTGCCCACATCTGTTAAAGAAGTTACAGTACGACGAACGACGGTTGTCAGCGATGAGTGGGCTCCTGTCAAACTTAGGGAAGAACAAGATAACGATCCCGTTTTAGAGAAAATGCAACAATGGAAAGAGGATAATCGTCGACCTACCTGTGGGACTCTTTTATTTTAGAAGGAAGCTTATTAAAGCGAGTACTAGAGAATGATTATGGCGGTGAAAACAGAAGACAGTTATTCATTCCAAATACTAGAGTAGCCGAAGTACTTCGTCAGTTACACGAGGACATCTCGGTGTTAAGAAACCTCTTCAGAGAGTTCGTGAAAAGTTTTATTGGATGAACAGTTCCGATGATGTAATGGACTGGTGTAAGAAATGTACCACCTGTACTATGAGTAACGGACCCCAATGAAAAAGGAAGGCCACCATGAAGCAGTACAACGTCGGTAGCCCATTTGAGAGGATTGCCTTAGATATTGCTCGAGCATTCTCTATGGCCAAGAATGGTAATAAATACATGATAATGGTTATGGGTTATTTCACGAAGTGGGTGAAAGTCTACGCTATTCCAAATCAATTGTTGCAGATGTGTTTTGCCTTTTGAGATTCACAGTGACCAAGGCAGAAATTTTGAAAGCCAGCTTTTCTGAGGAATTTGTGACATGAAAAAAACCAGAACTACAGCATTGCACCCACAGTCGGAATGGTAGAGCGAATGAATAAGACAATTTCTAAATACCAGTCAAAAGTTGTTTCCAACCATCAGCGAGATTGGGATGAGTATCTTTCACTCTTCGTAATGGCATATAGATCTGCTGTCAATATACAGGCCAAACACCAGCAAAGGTGCTGTTCGGGCGTGAGATGAGACTACCGTATGATCTTGAGTTTGGATTCCGACCTGGAGAAGACATACCCGGTGAAAATTATGTGATCCAGCTACGAAGAAAAATGGACGAAAGGCATGAATTAGTTCTTGCATCTTGAAATCGCCAGCGACAGAATGAAGAAGCGATACGATACCCAAGCGACATAAGGATGTTTCAAAGAAGGCGATAAAGTCTGGCTCCATAATTCAAAAAGACAAAAGGGGTATTCTCCGAAGCTTCAAAGGTCTTGGGCAGGTCCATATCTCATCTAGAAAAAAATCAATGATGTCATTTACCGTATAAGTAAGATCCTGAATAGTAAACCGAAGGTAGTTCACCAAAACCGGCTGGCTTCATTTGAGGGTAACCATGACAAGGAAGAAAAAGTAAACCAGCTCCAAGAATCACATGACCTTGTCTTTGAAGAATTTATGGGTACATATGGAGGTACCGGAAAATCAAGATATGGATTTACAACCGAGCAACAACAAGATCTGCTCATGGTTCCTAAAGACTATTCACTAGTACATAGCACTTCCGCCAACATCAACGACGCTGAAGGTTTGACATCTGTGTTCCGGAAGAAGTTTGGTCGATTGCCAGAACTTCAAGATGGATCGCGTTATCTTTTCTATGTGATAACGAAGAATATTTTATGAGATCGATTCACTTATCGTGATGTATGGGAAGCATTACTTAGTCTGAGGGTGCACGTACTGGAGTCCAATGTACAGAAACTAGCCATGCCAAGGATAGAAAGCAACCAGTTAAATTGGAGGATCATTAGAAACATGCTGGAAGTAATCTTTCAAGATTCCGAGGTTGCGAAAACTGGTCTACAGCCATTCACCCAGTTTCCAGGTTTCAATAAAACCGTCCCTTGTTACTTCCATGCAACTGGAAATTGTAAAAAAAGATCCAGTTGCAGATTCAACCATTCAGTTTTAGTTCCAGGAGGAACTATTTATTAAGGAGGGGGCAATGTCGCGTAAAAGCCTACTCTGCGCTTTGTTTACTTCTTGCCCAGGGTATCAAGTCTAGCGGCGCGCTTCGAGAAACTACCGTATTGATCCCTTTGCGGCGTATGAATCACAGAGAGGCAGTTCTCGATTGTTGTGGAAAGCCAAGACTACCTATTCTGGTACAGAGTTGGGCTTTGTATAAATAGTGCCAATTGTCGACGGACGGGGAGATTGAATTTAAGTGTAGGTCAGAAAAGATAAATTGTAATAAATAAATTAGAATTGTGAATTATAAAAGTGCCTAAGTATTATATAAATTAATTAGTACGTCATAAATAAATTGTAAATAGTGTGTTTTAAATAAACTATAAATAAATTAAACAAACGTAACAGTATGTTTACAGCATATAAAATGTATGTAATTGCATTACTTTGTGACCTACTTTTGTGATATTGGTATTTTAAGTTTTTAGAATATTTAATCAATTATTAATCTTAGGTTCTCGCGTAACTCGTCATATGTACAGGGTGTCACGAAATTGAGTGTACACGAATTTACGGGCTTAAAATATAGCGCGTTCTTTGCTAAGCAAAAATAGGGTTTTTTAATCTTCTTTTTCTTTCAGTTTTTCTGTGTCTATTAAGTTCAAGTTTAATGTTTTCCATTTACTTTGCAAACAATTCAACGATAGTGACAATACTTTCTGCAGCCGGTTCAGCTATTGGAAGTGTACCAGAAAATGTACTAGTTACTATAACAATGGAGTTATTTCCAACAACTTTAAGGTAATGTATTAATTTTGTACTCATTAATCAAGAATCACATTCGTTTCCGTTTTTTTCTTCGAAATAAAAATATTTTTAGCATTTATGTATCATAAACCATCTCAAACAAACCCAAGAGCGATTAGAATATGTCAAATTATATTTTGAATTGTCAAATTAATGAAAATTTACCTAAATCAAGTAACATGAATAGAAAAATTATTTTAATAATTAAATGAAATGTTAAATGACAATTACCTACCCACTAGATAAAATGCATGGAAATTATTAATTTGCATTTTTCAATTAAAATGGTTGTATTTATTATTACTATTACTATTGTAATTACGTATTCATACTAAAAAATATCGTATGACACAATGCCTAATCGCTGCGCGTCGTGGCCTTAATCTCGTTGCTCATGCTTTTAAGGCTCGATTATGCATTAGTGTCATAATATACTATTAATTTTTAGTGTTTTAGTTATTATTTTGTTTAACTTTCAGGGCGATAGCTTTATCAATACATTTGATGTCTTCACGGCTAGGCACAATAATAGGAAACATTAGTTTTCCTTACTTGGTACATTTAGGATGTCTGCCTCCATTCCTTTATATTGGAATATTTGGTTTTGGTAAGAATCTATTATAAGTAATCTATTGTATGTCGTATAGTTGGAAAATGTGAACGCCATTATTTAATGGAGTAATTTAGACTCTTGTTCAGAAAATTATTCACATGGTATTTACATTATTTATGATAACCAAATCAGAAATTTAAGAACTTGATGACGTAACCTTTTATCGCGGCATAGTAACTGCTTTTTGAAATTCAAACTTTGCGAGAGAAATTAGACTTATTGTTTTAGAGACTTCTAATTAATTCGACGAGATAGGGGCGGTGCATTATTTTCTGTATTTGAATTATTAATTATTGGGTTGGCACTCAGCGCTGAGCTCGCCTGATGTATTAATTGCAATATTTTGGATGTATTTCCAACATCAATACTAAAAACAAATTAATTTATTTTTAGCTTGCGGAATAGTATCGTCGATTTATTCCAATACGGAAAACAAACCATTAATTTAATGAAATATATGTAAATAATAAAATCAATAAAATTTAAAATAACCTGTGTTTTATTTTTTATACCGGACCTCTATTTAGTGCGTATTTCTTCTATAATTCAATGTGTGATAGAGATGGTCCGACAAGACTTGATAGGCGATAGAAAATGAAATAGGAACATAAATCTTTTAAGTGCTTAATTTTTGAGATATAGCTCTAGTTGCAAGAATATTCAAGGGTAATACCTTATATAAATATACTTTTGTACAATCGTTCACCATTGAAGCTTTTAGTGAACCTTGGCAATATTGGTACCTTATTATACTATTTAGCTAATTTTGTCCAATCGTTCAGTGCTTTATAGGTAGCTTCTACTATATCGCACATGTGTGATTGCGTTTGTGATATACCTACCTCTACTTTTGTGATATTGGTACTTGATTTCAAGAACATTTTAATAATAAATTTATATAAATATTTTGTTTTATTTGAAATTTTCATGTCTCGATTGAGATTTTACTAATATCTCAAATTCAGCGTCTCTGTATTACCTACATTACACAAAGAACAATATAGTGTCTCCACGGATGGACCTAATTATACTTGTAAAAATATCTATCTTAAATTAAAAAAGGTTGCTTTTCATAATTTCTCAATGTGAATCTTATTTAACAAGCAAAAGAAATTATGAATTACTTTTTTTGAATTAAAAATAAATATTTTCACAAGTATAGTTGTCTATACGTGGACACACTGTATAATGCTGCAAAACTAATTCACATCTATAGAACGTTTCAGAGCAACTTTTGGTGTAAGTACCGTAAAAGTGCTAGTGTGATGTTTTTCGAACTTCACTTTGTAACCTCTGTGAGATGTGCTATAGGGACCGTGCGTCATGACTTTAACGCTAACTGGTGACAAAAATGTGAACTTTATGGGGGGTATTTATTAATGTTTTATACAACATTTATTGTTTAATAATTATTAATTAAATAAAGTCGAATTATTTTCGTAATATCATTATTGAAAAAACTTGTTGCATTCATGGATGTACAAACACATCACTTTGGAAACATGGATTTCATTCGATAGTAAAGAAATTTTATAAATTTCCACAGAGCACAACAATTAATGTCTCACACCCAATGATATACATAATTACAAAGATTGCTTATCCATATGTAAATCAGACGACGAAGAGCGTATTTCACTGGGCAGTTTTCTTTTTATCTAGCTTGTATCAATTTTGAGCACTTAGTTGTAAAGAAATCATTTACAGAACCGGTTAAGAAATTAGGATCTTTGGTGTTTTCTTGTCATTAAGATTTTTACATATTTAAATGAACATTTTATATAAATATAATTTTACAGATAATTAATGGTTTATTCTGTTGATTAAAACTAATGTAAAATGTTATTATGAAATAAGAATGTCCAATTTCACAAAAATATCATGGCTCTCTTTACAATTTATTAACTATTTCTCATTTATTATTAAAATTAACAAATCATAAATAATAATAATAATAATAATAATAATAATAATATTTATTCATACAAAAAAAAAATACAATAATAAGTAGGATATAAACGCAGCTTGTCATATTTAACTAATATTATAAACAACAGAAAGAAAAAAGGTTTAAATACCTACACAGATTTAAAAAAAAAATATATATATATAAAATTGTATAAATAAATAAATTACTCGATAAGCGAGTGAACGCTTGTTTCGAAATAAAACAATAACTAAAAAGAGATACTTAACTAATAACTAAAACTAAATTAAAATTACAGAAAGAACATTCGAATTTAAAATACTTTGCAATTACTGTCAAAAGAGATTGCAACAAACTTTAAAATATTAAAAATCCAGTGATTTTTTGTAAATTTTTTTTAGTGACATTACCATTAAACATTATTCAGAATAATAGATAAGTGTCCAATTACAACCCTTACCAAAGTTGTTTATACCTCATATCAAAGTTGTTTGCATTACCTTTTCAAAATTGTATTACATATTGCAATTATGTATTTTATGTAGTATTATTTCTGAAATGAGAGTAGCCTAAAATTATTTATATCCATCTGTTATAAAAATTGTTTAGATCTCTTAATATTATTTAACTACGTGGAAACTCAACTTTACAAATACATTATAACATATGTCTTGAAATAAAACTTTAATTATTTTCTTTTTCTAAAGATTAAAATGCTGAAATTTTATTTTAAAACACATTTGGGCTAGAACGGCTCTATTTAGTGAGCACTAGGAAAGGCACATTGCAACCCGCTTTTCATATTTTTTTTTATAGATGGGTGAGCAATCTATAATATATATCATTGGACATCTCATAAACGTCAGTGGATGAATGACATTTCGACTAACATAAAGCTAAAAAGATTTATTATTATTAATCTTTTTTATTAATTTACATTTTTTAAATGTTATTGTAATACTTTTAAATTCAGTGTTGCTAAATACCGATATTTTGACATTGGATACACTTATTTAAGGTACAACTTTACAATTTATTGTCACTTAGCCATTTAAATCTTTTTGCTTAAAATATATATACATGTCCAGATTTTAATAATGTTTCACATTTTACGTCATTTTGACCATGTACACGATTGTTTGGTACGGGCCGGTATCTATTTTGAACTATATTTAATATTTTAAAAAATATCCTTTATTATTTACTTGCAATGTTTACCCCATTTAATTCTAAAATTGAACACTAGAGAGGGCTAACTTCGGCAGTAGTGCTGCCTCTATATTTCACGCTCGGTCCCAATAAAAGTCTTGCCGTTGCGGATATTCGGCTGTTGCAGGGATATTAGGGTTATATTAAAAGTACATTGCATGCGAGCTTAACGAGCCTAAAATTTCAGCTTATTAACGTAGATGGGATGTTTTTGTGCTAGCTGGGTATTTTACGTGATATTTCTTCTTTCAGGAGCGATTGAGCGATATATTTTCTGGTAACATAATATACACATAAAACTCAGAACGTCATGACAGAATTAAACATGGTCACTATTATACCTTTTATAAAAGAGTAAGCGTAAGCCTATTCCGATCTTTTGTCCATTGTTCCGCAATTAAAAAAAATATTCGCTCAACATTTGCATTGTGTGCAGTAATAGCAAAGAAGAATTCACATATTTTTAGCATTTATGAAAAACTTTCAATGGTTATACATTGCTGAAAATAAGTTGATCACTTTTTGTGTTTTCCCGGACACTTTTTCAAATTCCGGCCTGACTCCCCCAGACACCTTAAAAACCGAAACATGTCCGGGTAAATCCGGACTTATGGAAACCCTAAGCAGAATCTAAATAATAATATGCTTTAATATCTACATGCATTTCAATAATATCCGTCACCCTGTATATACATCTACAATTATCATTATCATTACACGCATAAAAAAACTCATTAAATTACGATAATAATTATCATCTCATCATCCGCTATATTTAATACAAAGTGCCAGCCTCGTAGCTAAATTAACACGTCCTAATCTAATCGCCCTCCCACCATCTCGCGGAAAAAAAACCAAAATTTAGGAGAAATCATCTCCAAACGAGACAAGTCGTCAAGTCGATTTAGCGATCTGTCTGAAAAGCGACGCGCGATGAAATATTTAAAATCGACGAAATTTGCGACCTGTGCTTACGAATACGTTGATTTTCTAAAAATACACGTGTCAGATGGATATGTAATTTGGAGTTAGATAGCACAAGTTACATGTGTATACAATCGGGTCCGTTTCAAGGGAAGATTTATTTCAAATAACAGTGAACATACACGCGCGCTTCGTTTGAGCGCGTTTTCTAAGTCAGTGCGTGTAAATATTAGTGTAAGTGTACGGTATAGTTTTTCTTCCGAGTGAAATTAGTGATCATTGTAAAGATGATATAGACAGGAGCTCGCTTGAAGGTCGGGAGAATGAGAAGGAAACGATTGCCGCCACCGTTGCGTCTAGGTAAGTAGGGGAGATCGGGGTAAAGTGGTCAGTTTTTCCAAAACACAGCCTATTTTGTTTATAATTTACAAAAAATCTATGTTTTCATCAACAATGGTAAAGTGATAGAAATACCCCAAGTCCTCTGACAAAAGTGTACCGTATTTTAGTTACAGTTTTGCACGTGTCTTCTTACCTATTTCAGTTGCGCTTTGTTGTTACATAGCAGCGTAAACTTTATTAAGGTGCGTTTACACGAATACACGAAGTCACTTTGAAAAAATTGAGATTACGTTTTACATTTTGTCTACAAATACTGGAACAATTTACTTTCGTACTTTATAAATAAATTTCCCAGCTGAACATAAGGTTTTAGCGTTTTTAGAGTTTTTAAAGATAATCCAAATTAGGTGCAAATTCGTGAAACAGATTCTTTAACTCATATAAATTTTTTAATCAATATCATTTTCGTCACAATTACACTCTGATACAGATTCATCACTACTTGTTGCTGTACATTAATAATAATTGGTTCTAGATCAGAAACATCTAATTGCTTGTATTTTTCCCAATCGGAAACAATTATGTTTTTAGTTTGTCTTACACACTGAGTATCTGTAACATTATTTAAACCTTCTGACCAAGTCTGAAATACATCTTCTGGTGATGACTTTGTTGTTAAAATATTTTTGTTATAAACCCGTTTGCATTGCGTGACCACACCATCTCTGTCGCATTGTACTGGCAGTGATATGGAGGAGTTCTTAATATTTTATGCCAATATTCCTCAACATATCTATCTATACTCGGACAAAATATTGAAGAAGGTGATTCCTTCCTGATCACGTACAACAATAATACTATACAAGAGTATAATGAATGGAATCACGCGCTCAAAACTGCAGAACTTATCGGTATCACGTGCCAACTAGTCATAAATGCATGTTTATTGCCGAAATGAATTACGCCAGTGGCGTATAAAAACTATTGGCAAATTAAATGTGGTAATAGTAAATAATATTATATTAAAGTAGGTTGGTTATCTATTTT